AATCAGTTGAAAACAAGAGTATGCAGTGCGTTTGAAAGTTAATCAGGATGGAGCCAAAGGAAACATTCCCTTCCTCCAACAATGGCCCTGAAGGTTGACCCACCACTCCCACCCCTTTTAGTCCAGGGAAACTAAAGTTCCTTCTCCTGTCCTAATTCCCTAGAGGCCAGGCAGTATGTTAACTGCCCCTTATGGTACTTCTTGACTTATGCAAATGAGCCCAAGGAAACAGTTATTAAAACAACCCTTCATGTGGGCTCCTCTGTAGCTAGTAAGACCCAGCTGGACTTGAACCCTGCACCTCCCAATGGCTTCTATTTTGTGTGGCTGAAATGGGGATTCAGTCCTGGGAGCTGACTTGCTTGAGCTGTCTTGTTTTCTCAGCTGACGGAAAAAGTGGGGCAGAAAGCTTTATATTCCAGGAGTGAGGGAGACATGTTTGAAGAATGGTTGGCATGTGACTCAGTGACTACTTTTCCTGAAAGGAGCTTAAGGTTTGCCCTGACCATTTAGCACATGAGGCATTTTCACCTGGGCAGTGCAGCCGGAGGACAGAGTATTATCGTTATTATTATCATTTGTTTCTCTTGCATCCCAATCTGCTTTCAGGGGGTTTCATTGAACTGTGATGTGCAGTGTCGTTATTGGTTCAAGTACTGCCCAACTCATCATGTGGTTTTTATCAAGGGTTTCGAGATCCCTGGTTATCTACCAGCCATGGTGTGAATACCTGTGACCTCCCACTCTTATGGGCGTGGCTCTGGACTGTGATGGGGAGGGTCAGAGAGGCTAGGCCCAGCTAGTGTAGGCTGGGAACACCGAGAGTATATGCTAAAAACCACTGGTCTCCAGGGGAGCTTCTGGATATGGGCCAGATTCATATATGGTAAGATCCCTATAGGTTATAGGTAAGATTCTCACTGGTCACGCAAAATCATAGCATCCAGCTTTGACCTGACTCTTTGAGGATGCTGTTATGCCCCCATCTGTGCCATGTAGCTAAGAGGCATGGGACACAGGGGAGGATGAGCCCCTGCAAATTTCTTGACTGTCAAGTCACCAGGATCAATACTTCTGAAGATTTTTTCGGGCCCGGTCCTTCGAGAATACAGGGACACTTGAGACTGACATGGGACTTCCTCTAGGGGAATTTACAGAGTGATGGGGAGCCCATGAGGTCATCTGCAGCAGGACTGGATAGAAGGTGTCTGCACTCAATTGTGGGGTATAGTTTGCCTGGAACAGTGGTTCTAAACTAAGGGCAATTTTGCCCTCTGACCAGGGTCTTTTGGGAATGTTTGAACATGGTTGGTTGTCACCGCTGGGGGTTGGGAGGGAGTGAGATGTTGCTGCCACCATCCAGTGAGCAGAAGCCAGGGAATACTGCTAAATGCCCTACAAAGCACAGGACATTCTCCCACAAAGATAATGTGGCTCCAAATGTCAGTAGTGTTCAGGTGGAGAAACCAACCCTGAGCTAGAAACTGTCTGTGCACAGGAGGTTCAGCTGTGTTTAGGAAGGAGTCATGGAAGTCAAGTGGCTCACCAAAGGTGGACTGAGATGTTTAAATGAAAGAGTAACAGGTACAGGTACATTTTTCCTACTTCATTCTAAGCAACAAGTGTCAATTACCTGATCAAGAATTTGGAATGTTGACATCTGGGTTGACTCTGATCAGTAGGCTCTATATCTTGTCAAAGATACTCAGTGAATTTTTTATGGCCAGTAGATAAATACCCTCCAGAATGTTGTGGTCTCAGTATTGCCTGAATGTTTTTATATGGTTGAAAGAACCATTAGGCTACAGCTATCTGAACAGCTGCCCCTATTTCTATCAGGTGCCTATTGCTGAGACTTGGGTTTACTGTAATCTATCTGATGGCATACAAAATGTCCCCTCTTCTAGATCATTGCCATCTCTTTTACTCTTTACATCTAAGGTTTCAAGTTCAGAAAGATCTTTATGGTTACTTGGAGTGTCTTAGAGATATAACTCAAATTCTGAATATTTTAAAAATATTTTATTTTATATAATTCTTACATCATTTTTCATTTTTGCACAATGTATGCATTTTCATTTTGGTTATATTCCCCATACAATTGCACCCCTCCCTTGTTTTGACCTAATCCTTCCTCTCCTCCCCCCCCACCAGTGTAATATGTCTCTGGTTTATAGTTGCTTGTTGATTTTGATTTTTACTTTGTATTAATTAGTCTTTTTCTTGGTACCTTATTTAGGTTTTCTAAATTCCTGCTATGCGTGAGACCATCCGGTATTTTTCTTTTTCTTTCTGACTTATTTTGCTGAGCATGATCCCTTCTAGCTCCATCCATGTTGCTGCAAACTGCATGTGTTTATCTTTTTTGAATGCTGAGTAATATTCCATTGTGTATATGTACCACATCTTCTTGATCCAGTCATCTATTTTTGGGCATTTGGGTTGCTTCCATAGCTTAGCTATTGGAAATAGTGCTGCATGGTGTATATGTACCACATCTTCTTGATCCAGTCATCTATTTTTTGGCATTTGGGTTGTTTCCATAGCTTAGGTATTGTAAATAGTGCTGCTATAAACATAGGGGTGCTGGTGCCCTTTGGAATTAATGTTTCTGTGTCATTCGGGTAAATACCTAGGAGTGGAATCAAATTCTGAATATTATTTTTAAAAATTGCAGGGAAATGATTGTTAATATGACCTAGTATCTGAGGTAGAATTAAATTATTTCCTTGGCAGTGTCCCATTGCAATTTTGTGCATGTGTGTTAATTTAGACCAAAACCCTAGTTTATTTCAGCATCAGCAACAGTCTTAGCCATCACAACTCTATCCAAGTCTACAGGAGTCTTTATAGTAAGCCTAAGGCTCAACCGACTGTGGGATCAGAGGTCATGGTGGTCAGGTCTCTGGCAATAAGTTAGGAACCTGTGATGCTGGTGTTGGTGGCAGGTGTGGGGTGGAGGGGGGCTTCAATTCCATGCAGGCAGGAGATCCTCAATGGCCTGGTTCCACTCCAACTGCTGCTCTGTCTGGATGAAGCAGCTTTAGGCTGCCCACTACCGCCTGCCCACCTCCAAGAATCCCAGGCCGCCTGCTTGGAGATCTAGAAGGCCTGATCCATGGTTGTGGTATCCTTGCCCCTGGTACCAGCTTCTGAAACTCTAGCCCCTTAATCACCTCTGGAAACTTTATGTTCTTGCTCAGGTGGGGCAGCTTGATGTGCAAACTTGCTCAGTGCCCAGGTTGGATAGGCAGGTGAGAAATAGCCCAGGTGAGGGTTTCATATGAACTTGTAGTTCTTAGACAAGAAGGGCATCGGAACCCGGGTGCGGCTGTTGCTGAAGCTGGTGAGCACTTCCTCCGTGTTGTCCCCTTTATGCATGGAGATGGCCTCCAGGAGGCCCTCCTCACTGATCCACACCAGGAAGCCTTTTTTTGTCATTGTGCCAATGCCATAGGCATAGGGCCTGTCACAGGCCAGGCCTGAGGCAGCAGCAGGGGTGATACAGGCTTGTGGAAGAGGACATAGTGGAGGATGAGTTGTTCTGCTCTGCCAGAGTTGTGCTTTTAAGGGCTCAGTACCCACTCGCCAGGTTGTTGGCGAAGTTGGACAGGGCTTCCAGGGAGGGTTTCTCTATGACAGGCCACTCGCTGTGGCTACATTTTGTGTGTATGTGTGGGCGGGGATAGTGGATAAGCCACAGATGCAGTGGCTAGTGCAACCCATGATCTCAGCCACAGTTGGGATATAGGTTATAGCTGGAATGTAGCTGTGTACAGGGGTCCTCGGTGCTGGAGTCAAAGAACTGAACTTGTTTTACGAGTCCTCATTCCCACCTTGCAGCATATGCTCATGATGTCTGGGCAACTGAGGTTTTTCATTCTGGTCTGGATGAGGTTGTCCAGCGTGAAGCTTGTCTGCATGCTCTTAGTATGCAGCTCCACCTGTAGCTGGGAGTGAGTACTTTGGCCTTGTGGTGGTTGTGCCTGCTGACATCAGAGAACAGTAACTTCATTGCATTGTGGCTGTTGGAGAAGTGTTGGCAGGAGCAGAAAGGCTGGGGAGGGAATGCTGGGTAAGGGGAAATGGGGAATAGGGGCCAGCCCATTGGCAAATCAGGGAGAGGTGTAGTGGAACACCTCTTTAGCAATTTCTTTTGCTTCCAAAAAAGGCCTGCCTCAGAGAGCTGGAAATTCTGAGAAAAACGGGATGGAGTTTAGAATTGTGCTTAGAATGAGCTGTATCTCTGAGAACCCACATGTGCTCTTCACTGTCCTCACTTTTGAAACGGTCTGCAACAAATTAATTGGTACCTTCAATATTTCAGATCCCACTGAAAACAATATCTTTTTCTGGGCTAAGAAGTAGTTTATTTATTTAAAAATAAATAATTAAAAAATTAAAAAATAAATCAAGGAACACAAAAAAAAATAAAAGAAAATTTTAAGATATAACATATGCTTTATCAGCTAGAACTCACTCACAGAGAGGATACTGAAGCAAATGTTAGGAGGCCAGGTTTTTGACATTCTCCATTCTGTCATCTGCAGCCTTGGTGCCGCGGACCAGCACAGCAGTAGACGATGAGGCCGTCTCAGGGTTGAGAGACTGCGCAGGGTGGTCAGGGATTCGGTTAAAGAAATGACAAACAGGGCCTCCCCCGGTGGCGCAGCGGTTGAGCGCTGGGTTGCGAAGCTGCCCGCGGCCTCTGCGGCGCCGGTTCGATCCCCGGCTGCTCCCCGGCCACCGGAGGAGGGTCCCACATGGCGCGCAGACCTCTCCTGCCGCCCGCTGCTCCCCTCAGCAGTGTACTTCGGTCCTTCTGCCTGCTCTGCTCCCCGCTCTGGCTCTGGTGAATTCTCTCACCCTCCCGCGCTTCTGACTGTACCCAGTGCATGTATAAACAAAAACAAAACAAAACCAGCAAACAAATAAATAAAGCATGCCTCTATAAAAAAAAAAAAAAAAAAAAAAAGAAATGACAAACAGACACACTTCAAGAGTGAAAATCTGAGTGTAATTTTATTTGAGTTGGTGACCAGTATATATATGTTTTCTAAAGGCATAGGAATGGCGAACATCAGTGAAGAAATTAGCTTGCTTATAGGTTTAGCTTATCATTGACAGGGCAGTGATTTACATCTGGACCCAGGCACATTCCTAAGTAGTTAGGCTATTAATTTTTCTTTTTGTTTTATATGATTACTTTTTGTTTTAACTACTCACTATTACTATTAATTAACACAGGTGAATTTTACTTTTCACAATGTAATATTTTTATCATTTAGATTAATACAAACTAGGCTAAGTATACAACAGAGAAATTATTAAGCTAGCAGTTCAATTAATACACAGAGTTTAGTAACGTTTCATTTGAATCAGCCTAGTTATTAGATTTCGTATGTTCTTTTTTAATCGGCAAACCAATGACCTTTTAAACAGAGAAAGAGAAAAGATTTTAGAGAGACAGTTGTATTAGAATAAAGTTTGTGGGTCTAGAGAAGGTGAGATAAGTTTCCGAGCGAACAGCATTCCTGTAGTGGCTTCTGGTGGTCGTTATCTTTCAACAGGTTTCCGTCTTATCTATGTCTTCAGGCGGTTTTTTGCTGTTCTCCTCCTGCGCGCTGGTTGCCCAGCCGGACCTAGGGATTCCTAGAGGTCACTGCAGGAGGAGGTGCAGCAAGTATATCTTCAGGGGGTTTTGCTGTTCTCCGCCTGCGCGCTGGTTGCCCAGCCGGACCTAGGGACCGTGGCGCAAGCCATTAGCCCTAAGGGTCACTGCAGGGGGAGGTGCAGCACTTGGGATGTCAGTTTCTTATCTATAAAATGTTGCAGACTTCCGAGAGGCCAACTCAGAGAAGTGGGACTGGATATATGTTGTGTCTATAACATCACTCTAAATGATGACCTGGAGGCTTTGCCACATTATATAAAATTTAAGAAGGAATGAATTCTATTGGTTTTTGTATTTAATTACAGCACAAAATGAGCCTGAGTAATTTCGCAAGAAGAATTGAAACATAAAACTTTTTTATACCTGTTTAGTTATTACAAAGATTCTCAGAGGCAAAGTCAGTTATCTTATCAGTGGTTTTTGTGTCTGTAAGTGTCCAGGGTTAAAAGTTAAGTGGTGCATCTTGTCCAAGGCCAATTCTGCAGTGTTTCTGTAGCAGGTAGCGGTCTCCAGTGTGGAATTCCACAAGAAGAAGGGGAAGATGCTTAGCACAGTGCCTGGCATATAGTATGTGCTCAGTAAATGCTAGCAATTAATGTTGTACGATAAGAGTGTCGCCAAATTGACCTCGCATGTTCTTAATATGTCTTGGATGACTGGCCTCTCTCTCTTTGCTGGGAATCTAGTGTTTTGGATCTGAATCAGGTTGAGTTTGTCTTCCCAGACCACCTTCATCCACATCATGTGTCTCTCACCAATTTCTAACCATTTTTTTTTAAAGATTTATTTATTTATGCATACAAGAGCTGGAATATAGGCCAGAGGTGTGGGGGTGAGAGGATTCACAAGAGACAGAGTGGGGAACAGAACAGGCAGACTGACAAAATACACTGCTGAGGGGAGCAGCGGGCGAGACAGGAGAGGTCTGCTGCGCCATGTGGGTTGCTCCCTGGCTGGCCCGGGCTGCAGCGGCTGCAGATAGCTTCATAGGTTGCGTCTTAACCCCTTGCGCAGCTAGGGAGGCCCTATTTCTAACTTTTCAGAAAAGGGCCTTACTACTTAGACTTGGAAGGTTGGGGAAAGAAAAAGGTAGTCAGGAAATCTCCAGGTAGATTCTCTGAGGCCTGTGGGACTTAGATGGTAAACACAGAGTGAACAGGAATGTGAGGGCGTGTGCACATGGAAATGCTCTCTGGCCTTCCAGCACATCTGCCTGCCCCTCTGCTTTGACTCCAGTCAGCCAAGAAGTCCTTGCCTGTGCAAAAGCTCAGGTCCCTCCTATGTCAGGAAGTTGGATTAGATCCCTCCCATCTGTCCCTCTCTCAGTAAAATTTCTCAAGGCCTTCACACCAACCTTGACCATGTGTTTCCAGGCTGCCCTCTCCCCTCCACCAGTCTAACCTCATCTCACTGCCCTGCCCACTGCCAAGAGCTGTAGCTGTCACTTGGAGGGCAGGTTGGGGGTGGGGGACCTGTGCTTGGTATGAGCTTTGCATTCTGTCCTGGAACAATTGCCAGTGCAGTAATTTCTCCTCCCTACCTCCCCATTTTAGGATTTTTGCCAAACTATTTACTACCTCCTTATGAGGAAGTGGTGAACAACATCCAACTCCTTCCTGGCCATACATGTGGTGCCTTCCAGTTCCAGCAGCAGCAGCAGCAACAGCTGCCTTCTCAGTGTGGCTCTGCAGGCGGCCGCACCCCTGGCACCCATCCCACCAGGGACTCCCAGGGGGCACAGAGCAGTCCCTTGTCTGGGCCCAGCAGAAGCAGCGCAAGACCCCCAGCATCGCTGACCCTGAGCCCTCCGATATGCCTGCTGACCTGGCAGCCACCAAAGCCCTGGAATGGAGCCCAGTGTCTCTGTGGCCGGCCTGGGGGAGCTGGAGCCCAGGGCCTTCCTGGACAAGGATTCTGAATGTGAGGAGAAGCTACTGAGAGATGACAGCTTCGAGCTGGGTAGCATCCTCCTCAACAGCAGACAAGATGCTGGGCAGACATCACTGCTTCACAGGAGACTCGGGCACTGAGGTGCGTGTGTGCAACTGGGTCAGCAAGAAGGTACACAAAGCCAGCTCCTGGTGAGTACCATGAAGCATGTGCGCACAGGAATCCGGGGCAAGAGTGCAGCCCACCTAGGGGTTCAGGGCAGCCTTCCCAGAGTAGGGACCGCTAAACTAAGCTGACCATGTAGATAGAAATGTAAAAGGAATGAATTCTAGACAATATTTGTTTTGCAGATTATTGCATGTGTATACTATGTGTTAGGGACTGGAAATAAAAAGGCATGGGAAAACAGAAAAGTGTGGGTGTCACGTCTGTAGCTTTGAGCAATTTAATCTTTCTGGGGAGTTATATTCTGGAAAGTGACAGGAGATGAAGCTGGAGAGGTAAGGTAGTCATTAAATGACTTTAATTTGTCTTGATTGTATTATTTGTTGGCTGTTTACGCAATGCCTGGTGTTGTCTAAGCTTCTTACCTACATATTCTTATTTTTACTTCAAAATAGCTCTCTGGGATATGGACTGTAGTATTCCCGCTTTGTTATAGGGTTGAGACATTCAGGTGAGCTGACTAGCTTGTCCAAGGTCACACAGCTGGGGGAACTGTGGTAGAGCCAGGGTTTGAAGCCACACTTGTTGATGCCAAAGCCCAGGCCAAGTTGCACCAAGATAGAGGGTGAGAGCCCATGGACACAGCGCAGTGGCTGGGAGTCATGGGTTGTGACTGATGGCCTTCCCTCGTCCTGGGCAGGGAGGAGGACTTAGGTCAGAGGCAAAGGTGGGGGGATGGGCTGCTTGGGCCAGACTAAAAGATCATGAGTCATTGCCCAAAAGGAAATGCAACTTTGTTCTTTCCCCGAGGACCCTTCTGCACAAACACAGGAGACAGTGGGGAGCACAGCTGCCCCACTTCCTGCATCATTGAAAGTGTGGGTTCTGGGCCCAGCCCTGCTGCTGAGGGGCTCTGTGCCTGTGGGAACTCACCTCCTGAGCACGGGCCTGTTTCCTCATTTTCAAATAGGTGCAGGGTCTCATTGCCCTGTCATCCATTATCTGACTCAACTGAGAAATTGGCTGTTTCCATCCCACTTACACTCACCCACAGCTTTTACAGGGACACTGACTTCTGCCAGTTGTTTATCTCTTCATCACTGTCTGCTGAATGTCTTTGAAATTCTGAACAACTTTGGGAAATTGTCCTTTAGTTCATTTCTCCCTACTACTAGATCTGAGGGGTGATGGAGTTCAGAGGCCAGCTGGTGGAGGACCCTGGAGGAGGAACTGGGAAGAGGGAGGGGCAACCTCTGGTTAAAGCCTCTCCCAGCATCTCAGTGGGGTGTTAGCAGCTCTCCAGGCTGCTTGTGATAGGGGGAGGGACAGCCACATCTGCCCACCTGCTGCTCTGACCCTGAGGCGAGACCAGCAGTCACAGGCCAGTAGGACTGAGCTGCAGGGACACTGGGGTATGCTCTACTACCACTGGATTAGCAAGCCCTTGGAGGAAGAAGGAGCAGCTGTAGGGGAAGATCCTGCCTCCTCACAGGGGCTTCCTTGATTTCTCTGTCTTCACTGGACCAGACAGGGTTTCAGCCTTGCCCTGTTGCCCTTCCAGAGTCCTCCTCAGTCAGAGGGCAAGGACTGTGCTGTTGAGGTTCTGAGCCTGGTATGGGACTGGCAATTACCAGGAGCTGGAGTTTTAGCCCTTCTCTGCTATAAAGGGTAGGGCCACTTCCCCCACCTCCCTACTCTACAGCTATCTCTGGACATCTTGTTGCCTGGCCAGTGACCAAGGTTTAAAGAGGGTGTGTACCAGCATCTGGGTCTCATTATCCCACAGCCTCCTAACTTTCTCCTGGGCCCACTGTGATCAGTAGAGAAACCAAACACCACTCAGCAGTTAGGAAGCTATTTTAAAAATATATAAGGCTTCTCCTCTTCAAAGTTTAAAACATGGGATTTCCTGTCATACTTCGAGTAAAACATAAAGAACCAGCTACTTACCAAGGTCCCATGGGACCTGGCCACCATCTCCCACTCTGACCTCTTCAGGGACCACTCCCACCTCACTGGCTCTGCCCTGGCCATGCTCACCTCTCCCACCTGGAGACCTTCCCACCCGCAGTAACCTGGACCTTCAAGTGCTCCCTCAGCACCGGACACCTTCCCCAGGCCTTGCCACCACCCCTGACCATGTGTTTCCTGGCCGCCCTCCCCCTCCACCAGTCTCTCCTCATCTCACTCCACCATCACCAGTGTAGCTCATTTCAGTGAACTCAGGAGTCTCTGAAGTCCCTGTTTGTAGGTCAGTCCTCACGGGAATGTAGCATCGCGAGACTAGGGAGGTTGCCTGTCCAGGCCCTGTGAGAGGCACATAGCAGCTGCTCGATAAGTATTTGTTGAGAGAATGAATGAACCAGTGAGGAAATGAATGGGCTTCTCAAGGCCCTTCTGAATAGAAACTGCTTAGAATAGTTTATGCACATCATGCCAGGGCTCAGGACGGGGGAGAACAGGAGAGGGGAAGGGTCACCTTAGTTACATGCTGTCTGCTGGAGTCAGGTTCCAGGTTCTAGTTCTGGGGGCTCCCTTCAGCCTGGGCCTCCTTCCAGGCCTCTCGGACCTTGATCTTCACTTTGAAAGGTTCAATCAGAAAGACCACATTGGGGATACCTTCCAGAGCGGGCATGTGTCCATCGTCTGGGACCTCGAGGTCAAACCTCTGCAGTAACCAGGCCATGAAGAGGAAGAGCTCCCTGCGGGCCAGCATCTCCCCTACGCATGTGCGTGGTCCCGCTCCAAAGGGCAAGTAGCTTAAGGATGGTGAGATGAGCTGGTTCCCTGTTGGGTCCAAGAAGCGCTCTGTGGACAGGGGAGGCAGCCATGAGTCAGGGGGCAGGACAAGAGAAAGCAGAGACATGGCCAGGTCCAAGAAGGGAGATGGGGTCTTGTCTGGGGAACCCCAGCCTGGGAGGGTGACAGCCTTACTTAGGGCCCTTTGGCTATTCTCAGGTTGGCCTCAATCACTCACAGGAAATGGAATGTCAGAGGGTGGATAGAGGCAGCATTAGCAGGTTTAAATGCCACCACCCAAGGGGCTAGGGTGTGTTTGGGGGACCCATGTGCCCACATTTTGAGAAGAGAGATTGAAAAAAAGACTGGTGTCTAGTGTGTGGTTTGGGGAATCTAGGGGAGCATGGGAGTGTCAACTGGTACACGTGGTTGCCACTCAAAGTTTTCTAGTAGCAAGCCATGCAGAGAGGAAGCTGAGTAGTCGGTGTAGCACAGAGAGCAGGCTGGTTGTGTGGCCCCGGAGCAGGACAGAACAGACACTCACCAGGCATGAATTTGTCAGGCTGGTCCCACTCCGTCTCACTCTTATGCAGCGCCCACAAATTGATGATGACATCTGTGCCTTTGTCGATGGCATAACCACCGATACTGCCCCAGAGAGGGAGAGGAATAGGTTATGGAATGTTGTGGCTCCCACCTGCTCAGCCCCAAGCCTGCACAGTCTACTTCCTGGGGACAAGTTACCCTCTCTTGCCTCACCCCTACTGCATCACTTTTTCCTCAGCATCTGCCAGATCCAATCTGCAGCTAGCGCTTCTCCAGCCCACTGTGCCTGACAACCACTTGTGTGTAAATCCTGTGTAGTGGGTACATGAGTGTCGGGGCAGGTGGGTATACATCAGAGCTGGTGCACATCTGTGTGTGCCTGGGGCTGCTGGACTGGGCAGAGGAGAGGGTACCTGGTCTTATCCAGACTACGTGTCTCCAAGGGCAGTGGGCCAGAGGTGTCTGAGTGTGGTCAGTAACCTGTGGTCTGTGAGTGGGTATGAGTCTGATGGATACATTGATAAGTAGGCTCACGGGTAGGCTGATTGATAGCCAATCATTGACCATCAGTTGATCAGCAAGCTAAGAGGAACAGGACAAAGGAGAGATCACATGAATGGGAAGAGTGCTGAATGCATCATGAGACGGGTGATATAGGCAGGGAAGCACACCTGGAGTTGACGATAGCCTGGTGGGGGATGAGCATTGGGGCTACGGGCCTGATGCGCAGCACCTCTCTAATGGTGGCCTCCAGGAGGAGGAGATGGTTGCGGTCGCTGAGAGTTGGTGTGCGGTTGAAACCTACATTCTGATCAATCTCCTTCTGGATCTTCTTTTTCAGCTGTGGGCCAGAAGAGATGTGTGTGATCAGCAGACTGAAGCCTACGGGTACATGGTTTTGCTAGAATCCCATTGTTAGATCCAGAAGAGCTGGTCCAGACCCTTCCCAGTGGTGAGTGTGTAGCCCAGGTCCTTCTTTCAGAGGATGGGATACCTAATCCCTAGCCCCAGAGCCAAGCACTGCTGGATGCGGGGTAGTTCCTGCAACTCCTTTTGCAAAGTAGGCCTGAGAGTTCTGCCTTTCCCTCTGTCTGGGGACAGAGGTTGGGCTGGCTGGGGTCAAGGGTGATTGGGAAGACTGGAGTAGAGAGAAGCCCACCTGAGGATAATGCAGCAGGAAGGCCACAGTCCACAGCACCACAGAGCAGGTGGTCTCCACACCAGCCCCAAAGATGTCCCCGATGGTGCTGAGAATGTGTTTATCTGAAAGCAGCTTTGAATCCTGGTCTGGGTCTGCATTGTTGTTGTCTGAGTTCATCTGAGCTTGGATCAGCACGTCCAGCATGGTAGTGATAGAGTCGCTGCTGAAGCTCTCCTGATGGGTGATATAGGAGACAGTGCTAAGGACAGAGCCCCACCTGAACACCCTCCTTTACTTCCATCTCAGAATTGAGGTTTGTCTTGGAGATGAAGGAGCACAGTAGTCTAGGTAGGACCTATGAGATGTGGAGTTAGGATGCAGCACTGAGCCCTCCCTGAATTTGAGTTTGGTGGGTCCTTTCTAGGATCCTCTTCAGTTTCTCACTTCCCCACCCCCATCATGAGTTGAGTCCATCTCCATTGGTGCCTACTGTGTGCCAGGTTCTGCGATATGGGGAGAGCCCAGTGTCCAACATAAACCAACCCTGTTCTCATGCATATTCAACCTGACTTATAATTTCTTCTGCTCCATTTCCTACCTTATATTTTCCAAGAATTTCAGTCAGTAATTCATTTCTCATGTTAACACAGTTCCTTAAAATTTCCAGTGTTTTATTGGGGAAAATCTGTAAAGAAGAAAAAAAGGTCAAATCCATTCCTCTTCCATTTTCCTTATCTAGCTATCCAAACCCCTCTTTCTCTGGAGTGTTCCTTTTCACCAGGCTTAGCGTCAAATGGAAGGAAGATGGCGCAGAATCAGAACTTCAATGATAAGTAATAAGTAGGACAATTCCAAGCAAGTGAAAAAGGAGTTTCCAATTTCCTCTCCCTGTTCTCTCAAACATCAAGACTGAGTGAGACTTTATTTAGTAAATCTGCTATATTTCCAGCCTTTAGGAGTCAGAAAGATGTGATTCTGGAGCTGGGAAACTTCCTTAACTTCCTAAATCAGATTTCTATCTGCAGGGTAAGAATGATGAAGCCCACCTCCAAAGGGAACAGATTGTTTAATGGTGGCACAAGGCACATTAATAAAACTATGAGAACCACTATCACAAACCTTAAAATGCATGCTATTTATATTCATGAAGAGAAAGTGCAAGGTGTTTATAGTCAGTGGAGGTTGATCTCACTGTGACAAGTCGTCAGGAATAAGGTGAGCCTGGACTTAGCAGTAGAGGAAACTATGAGGACCCACTTGGTGGCTACTGGGATCTGAAAGTTGGGCCTGGTTTCATCCTCACCTTCAATCCAGGGAATATGTCTACTATGGTATTCTTGCCCAGCATATCCAGGATGCCATTACTGTAATGGTGTATGATCTTGAGCTTAGGATCCTCATACTTGTAGGTGAAGTTGAAGCAGATGAAGCACATAATGTTGGTCACCGCCATGAAGACAGGCAAGGACAAATCTACAGACTGTCCACACTTGGTGGCCAGGAAATCAGACAGTGAACTGATTTCCTGACATACTGAGGGGAGACAGGGACAAGAGGGTGGGGAATTAAGCAACACTCTCAACCCTTATCTGCCAGTTCCATTAGCCCAGCACACAGATGGCTCTAGATGGCAGCAGTAACCGAGAAAATGCTATTGTACAATGTGCAATCTACAACCCCCTTGCCTCCCTAACCATCATGTACAAGACCAGGAACCAACCAGGTACTCACTCATTTTCTCTAGTCTCTGGTTGCCATCCTTGAAAAGAGCAAACGTAGCCTGCACCAGCTTCCGATGCAGCTGCCACTGGGCACCATGATCAGCAAAGGCAATGCCCTTGTGATTGTTTGACAGGATGCCTAGAGTAACCTTTAGAGAGCAGGAAACACTGTAGGAAGCAAACAAGCGCCACCCACCTTGTCCTGGGTCTCCCACACCTGTTCCCCTTCTGGGAGGAGGGAGGAGACAGGTGCCTGCCAAGCTGAATCCCAAGGGGGCATTCCTGTGGGATGGCAGTGACAGTGATGCCCTGGTAGCAGAGGTTGAAGGCCCCCAGTGCCCAAACCATCAAGGGGGCAGAGAGAGAAGAAAGAACTCTGAATTTGACTGAAGGGTGCTGGATCCAGTTTAATGACAAGGCTTCTGCTGAATCTCTCCTTTCCATCAGTTTCTTCCCTGGGGCAATAGCTGGGGCTGGACAAGCTCTCTGAACTGTGTTTCCTGGGGACGGGGGGCAGGCAGGCCAGTGGAAAGGAGGACTGTCCAGGTTCTGCCTCTCCTGGGCCCTATGCGAGTGCTGAAGGCGCATCAGCTCATCGCTTTCTGTTTATCTTTGCGTGGCAAGTCTGCGTGCCATGGAAATTTGGCCACCACAGCCAAATCTGAGAAGAGCAGGAGTCTGGTATACCCTCTGCTCGGGGGCAAGGCACCATCTCCAGAGGTAGCCCCCTCCCCAGAAGCATGAGGGTTCAAAGCTTTCCTTCTTCTACCCTCACCCACTAGCCCCATCAGATCTCTTTCTTTTAGGGAGAGAAGAGCTCAGAATAGTCGGGAGTGAGGCAGTTGACCCACTGAGCTGGCTGACTGATGCAAGCAAAGAAAGGCAAGTCATCAGTCATCCCGATCAAAGATGGGAGTCTGGGTTCCTGTCTGGGTGTTCAGGTAAGCAGTGAGCTGCAGGGTGCTAGGACGGGGCTCTGGCAGTGTTTCTGGATCTCAGGCCCCTCCTCTTCCCCTAGAAGCACCTGAGTGAGCTCAGTAGGATGCACCATTCAGCCCTGAAATGCTACCATGGGTCAGACCCTGTGAGCTGGAGCAGCTGCAGACAGATCCAGGGAAGTTGCACCCTGTCCTCCCAGGGCCCGGCTTTTCGGCTTTTCCCATCCCCCTTCCCATGGAGAGAGTGAGCACTATGCCCATCTTGCACATGAAAAGGAACTTCATAAAGACTGTTTTCTGAGCACTTACTGAGCTGGATACTGGCCTCATTGCTTCATTTTCACTGTCATTAATTAGGGAAGTGTTGGCTGAGAGACATCATCATCCAGTTCAGGGGCAAGATGGGCGGAGTGAGGGCTCCACTCTGTCCACGCCAGGGCTCAGGGTATGAGAGTTCCTTTCATCCTTCCTGCCTGGTTGAGTGACTGAATGGGGTCTGAACCTACTCCCCACCCACAGCCAAACCACAGTGTCTCTGGAGGAATTACAGGTATTGTTGCTGGGAGGGTCATTGTGAACATGGTCTTGGCTGAGACCCGCACAACCCCAGGGGATGGTGAGAAAGGAGGCACAGGGCACTGCTTACCACTTGGGGCCGCCCAGCGAAGTCCTTGCCTTTCTTGATCAGCACCTCCCTGGCCAGCTGGTGCTCCCCAATGATCACTGTAGTCTTGTTTCCCATACGAAGGGAATAGATGGGGCCATATTTTCTCTGCAGCTTGAAGAAATTCACATGCTGATGTCCATGTCTGGGGAGGAAGGGAAGGCTGCCCACCAGGGGCAGGGCTGGGAGGCTGTTGGGGTACTTGGCACCAGGGGACTTGCCCTTGGGCCAGAAGAAATAGGCCAGGGTGAGCAACAAGAGAGGGAGGAGCTCCCACATGGTGATAGGAGGGGCAAGCACTGTTGGTGGAAGAGCTGTAGCCACTTAGAGCCTATGGAGGCCTCTTAAAGGGTTGGACTGACCTTCGCCTTGACTTGTATTATCTTCTGCCTTGTAGAAGTTTATCCTGGAGCACAGCCAGACCTGAGCCCTCTCTCAGAACAGTGAGGGGAAGGGGGAACAGGCGCCTCTGTAAGGGCTGACTCAAGTTCAGGGCAAACCCCTAGGTTGTAGCTAGATTAGTAGACAACAGCTAACCCTCTACCCCCCTCCCCCATCCACCCCCCATCCACGGACCCAGCTTCGAGTTCTCCATCAGTGAATTCCTAGTGATTTCTAGAAGCAAAAATATTTGTGTCAGCAATTAGAAATGTTTTTTTTCCATGTTGTATATTTAAAAAAATGGACAAATGACATTGTTGTGAGGGGCATAACAGCAAAGATTGTAAAAGATATTTTATCCAGTGTTTTTTAAAATTTATTTAAATTATTTTTATCTAGTTATATCATTAGACAGTTGAAGAAAGTATGACCTTCAGAGTGTGTGATGTCAAGAACCTGATTCCTAACTCCTGGTTTGCAGCTGTTTCCTTAGGTAGTAGAGCCTAGGGGTTGAGAATATAGACCCTAAACTCAGAGAGGCTGGGTTCAAATTCTAGGCTGCCCTTTTTCTAGCTATATGATCGTGGGTGATTACTTAACTTTTTAAAATATCATTTTTGTTATGTTAAAAATTATATAACAGAGTGTAGTTTGCCTAGGAGCAGAGTTAAACAGAGTGTAGAGATATAAATGCTCTTTGTAGTTTATTTAGCATTTTTTTTTCTTGTCATCTTTGGTCATGCATAGTGAGGTTATTTTTTTTTCTTATTTATGCATTGGCAAGTTTTGCTATTCTGATTTTGCTAGCTTTATAATTTTATTAGAGAAATTTTTAATCTTTTAGTATGTCCCAATGTGGATTGAATAGAATAGGAATTATTTGTTCTTTAAAGCTCTCAAGAAAGGTAATGAGAAGTGTCAGGTCCTAGTGCATTTTTGGAGAAGATCATTCTCTATCATTTTCTAGTGTCTTTGGTAGTAGTTATTGGATCTACTTGTAGGTCTTCTTGAGTCATTTTGTTGGTCTTCTTGAGTCAATATCACTTGATATTTCTTAAAATTTTCATTTTCTATTTTTTTCTTGACATGACTTGTCAGAAATTTTACTAATCATTTCCAAGTATTTCCTTTTGTATGTATTCAAGTTTTTGATTGTAGTAGTTTTAGTTGTCTCAATTATGTTAAATGATCAATGCAAAACATCCTTATGGCTTATACCAGAATTTATACTAAAAACTTCTATGGATTCTACTTCCCTTGTACCCCTGTTTTTCTTGTTCCATGTTTAGAACAGAAGCGCCATTAACTACTAGAGCTGAACCTATGACTCATAAACTTCATTCTTAGGTAGATAACCAACAGGAGGTGTTGCTATGTTCACCAAAAGATATATTCCAAGGTGTTCATAGCGACACTGATTATAAGAATTTCAATCTATGAATATCTCAAATATTTATTGGTTGTTAATGGATTACTTGCCATCCATCACACAGTAGAATACTATACAGAGAATTAATGGTAAGTACAACGACACCACCCACATGGATGAACCTTGCAAACACAGCACTGAGTGCAAAGGCCAGCCCCCAAAGAATGCATATTGGATGGATTTATTTACAGCAATTTCACAAATAGATAGAGCTCATCCATGGTTATGGTGTCAGAACCTTGGAGGTGGTTAGTGATTGCAAGAGGAATCAAGAAGGTAACTTCTGGGGGGGCAAGTAATATTGTTTCCTCATTTGGTTGCTAGTAAAACAGGTATGTTCACTTTGACACCATTTATTATACTTATGGTGTACTTCAATAAAAAGTTCGCTTAAAAAAACTGGTTCTGCTCTCCAAGTACTGTCAGCCACCTCACATATCTCTCTCTTGCTTCAAATGTGTTTTGACTAAACAGATGAAGGCATACCCCTTCTACTCGCTTTGACCACCTTCCAACCTCTTTTTCCAGTTGCAACCTGCAGAACGTTTTCTTTCCATCCTCTCCCTCCAGAACCAGCCAAAATTGTCTTTTGGTCTTAACCCCTTATTGTGGGACAACATGAGCTCCCAGATTCATCAGGATGATTCCGCTGAGGTGAAGGCCACCATCAGTCACCCAGCCAAGCTACATCTGTGGGCTTCCTATACCTGCCTGTTTCTGGGCTTCTATTTCCACCCCAAGCAGTATGGTTCAGGGTTTCTGAATACTCATTACTCTCCTCCATATCTTGCTTCATGATTCTTCTACTCCACCCATCCTCCAATTGCTTCTCTCCCTCATCCAAGTCCTTTTACCTGGGCACTCTGGTATTCTCTCTGAAAAAATAGAGAGAATATGACATAGCCTGATAATATAGCCTGGTTCTCCTTACCAAGCTGTAGAATATTCTCTCTGCTGCCTGCCTTACATACCTGGACTCTTCTCTGTGGACAGCCCTTCCTGTGCTGTCCCTTTGAATGAAGACACTTCACGTCAGGGATAGGAAGTGCAAGTGAGATTCTCTTCACTCCCCCCAGCCTGCCAGGTCCCCACTCATCTAGCTCTGAGTATGAATTCTTGTGCTTTTGCAGTTTCAAACCTTCACTAGTGCCATTGCTTACTGACCTTCTGTGGCTTGTTTTCATTTGATTCTCAGCCTTCCTCTTCATCCTGCTGCCATGCTGCTACCTCTGAGTCTATAGGGGCGGCCAGCACACATGGCAACCTCACAGTTTGACACCTCCTCAAATGCAAAGGTCTTTACCCTTATTTCCTTTCAATCACTCCTTCAAATTTCAAGTCCTTCCCTCAATTGTATGCTCAGCAGATAATTTTACCTTTTACTTAAGGAATCTGAAAGCATTAAATTCAATCACCCATAGTTTCTTCTTTTCCAGTGCCTTCAACCTGAGAGGTAAACAATTGCCTCTTCTATTTGTAATCACCCCCTCCAGCATTTGGGAAAATCACAATAATTTTGTTGAGAATCTACTATGTATTACATCTATTATTTTATTTAATCCTTATAAAATCTCTTTACAGTAGGTACTAATAATATCACCATTCCCACTTTACAGACTGAGGAAGCAGACACAAAAACTTGTGCAATGATGAAGGTAGGATTTAAGTAGGCCAGTGCTCTTAACTCTTAATTGCCATGCTATTCTGTTTCTGATAATATAGCCTGAAACTTCCTGTTTACGTGGGTGAAGCAGTGCTTTCAATTCTAGTGTTCATTCTGTGAATGTCATACATCCTGTGAAATAAATCATTGTAGCCATGTTTATAACTGTCAGTAGTACATACCCCATCAATAGATTGAAATAAAATGCAGCCAGAAAAATGAGGAAATATTTTACGTGCTTATTATAGTAATATTTCCAAAATGTACAACCATTTAAAAGATGCAAAGATAAGATTGTGTGCATTAATGTCTTCACTTTTTAAAAAAGATTTACTTATTTATGCATATAAGAGCTGGGCATAGGCCAGAGATGCGGGGGGTGAGAGGACTCACCAGAGACAGAGTGGGGAACGGAACAGGCAGACTGACTGAAACACAGTGCTGAGGGGAGCAGTTGGTGAGACAGGAGAGGTCTGCCGCACCATGTGGGTAACTCCCTGGTGAGCCAGCAATCAACTCTGCTGCAGAGGTTTCGGATTGCTTCCTAGTGTGGTGCTTAACCCCTTGTGCCACAGGGAGGCCCTCTACTTGTTTTAAAAAAGGAAGAATGTGCACTTTTTTTTTTTTTTGCTTCTGCCTTCATGAAGTATTCTGGAAGGTTACTTGCCTTTGGGAAGATTAACAAGCTGTGGGGTGATGGTGGGAGGAACACTTTCCACTGTATACTCTTGTACTTTAAAAATTTTTGAATCACATGAATCCATTACCTATTTCAACATTGTGTTAAAACCATTTTATTTTATTTTATTTTAAATAAATTTTATTTTTATACTCCCCATACAATTGCAACCCCCTTATTTTGACCCCAGTCCCTCCCCTCCCCACCCCCCACCCCCCATAGAGTGACTCTGGTTCATAGTTTTTTGTTGATTTTGATGTTAAAATCATTTTAAAAGAAAGGAATCGGGATGGAAAATACTGTTACTGGCTGGCTGTATTAATCAGTACTTTAAAAAATCTACACCTCCACCTAAATCCTTGACCTTGTTCCTTCATACCTTCTACAGATTTTTGTTTCATTTGTCATTTTCCTCCTGCACCTTCAACTTATCCTCTCTACTGGGTTCTTTCCTCAATTGATTAATATGTTCGTAATGCTTATTCCAAATGAAATTTTTAAATTCTCCACTGAAACCACACTCCCCTCTAATTTCTCTCCTTTCTTTTTCAATCACAGTTCTGAGTAGAATAATATTCTAGACACTTGAGTATCTTATTCCCCAGTCATCATGTACTCATTGCTGTTTGGCCTCTGACCCCACCATTCTGTTGGAATTGCCATTAATAAGGTGGGCTATGATCTTGCTAAACTCATATCTGTCAAACTTCACTTATAAAAATTCTCCATTAGCATTATTAATTAATTTTACCTGCTTTAATCCTTCTAATATGAAGTATCATACAACTCTGATTCATTGTAATTCTTCTGTTTCCCCTCTTGTTCTGTCCTCTCATGTATGTCAAGGTTCCTTAGTAGTCTGTTCTTGGCCCTTCTCCCATCTGCATTCTCTATGACTGATTTCACCCTACTCAAGGTTTTAACTATCACCAATAATCAGCATTTGACAAATAAGTACTGGTCTTGACCCTCAAAGAATTTAGAAGTACATGATGCCATTTAGAAATGGGTGTCATATGTTGCCTCCTATACTCATCTGACTTCACCCACAATTTCTGCATTTGTAGATTTTTTTTTAAAGATTTATTTATTTATTTATACAAGCACTGGGTATAGTCAGAAGCGCGGGAGGGTTAGAGAATTCATCAGAGCATAGCAGGGAACAGAACAGGCAGAGTGACGAAA